AGCATTCTTTTTAGTTCATCTTTTTTGAATAGTTCAACTTTCACGCATTGGATTTCAAGTTGTAAGTTTAAACACTCAGCTGAAGAAATGCCAACTCGTGTGTACAAAAATCTCTATAACATAAATTCAAGTTATAGGTTACTTACTTGAACTAAATTAAACTAATTAACCTTGTGAACTAAATCTGTCATTGATCAATATCTATTTTTGTTCATGATGTTCATGCGAAGAAAATTCAATCAGTTCCAGTGAGGTACACTTTTCTTTCTAGTGAATTTAAATAATCTTCACTGAACATGTAGAAGTCTGGCCATAAAAAGATTGAGTGATATTTCATTCATTCTAATTTTAAAATCTTCCTACATATATTCAAGTATAATTGATTACTTGTCCACTATGTACACGTAAATATGACCTAATTTCTTTTCATGATGTTTTTTTGTTAGCACTAGTATTCGTGAAGGGTTTTCCTCTATGAGTTGGTCGTCTTTACTCAATGTTATAACCCCTAGTGATAGTTTCTACATTAATGTTTTTCTTCGTCTCTTGGCCCACCTATTTCCGACTCACTATATAAGTAGACTCCACATGAGATAAGTTTAACTAAGAGATCAATAGGTATCAAAACTCTATGCTAAAATGGAGTCTTAATATCATTAAAATCTTTTACTAATTAATTTCCGCCTACATTTTTCATAAAATACATTTTATAGTGACTAATATTTATGACAATAATTAAAAAAAGTCACTTTGTTTTCGTTATATTTCTCTGAAGTATCGGAGATTTTCTGTAATCGGTATTTAGTTATTACGTAAGGTTAACGTTAATCAAAATAAGTTTAAATATAATATTCGGACCATTTTTGTAATCATTACTTAAAACCTGTTAAAATATACTTTGTAGCTGACGAATATCTTTAACTCTTACACTTAGGGCGTTACGTATATTCGGTTACATAATTTTTAACTTAGTTACTAAATCATTTTCTCATGTAGCTTCACTTAATTTCCTTAGAAAATTCGTGTGATAACATTATTGCTGGTTGAGAACAATTAGTATAAAGTTATGTACTTGTTTTACGCTACTTAGAACTCATTATCAAGGCAAATGAACAATCTTGGGGGAACTGATCCAATTTCTAGAATTCAGGTATGTGTCACTCGATTTCACTGTCAATGACATCACCATTGAGCTAATTCGATTGTTGCCAACATCTTGTAAGACTGAAACGCTAACATCAATTGTTTGGCGAATAACTGCTAATTTCATATTGTCTATTCCTTAACAGTGATCAAATTCGACCGATTCCACTGAAAACATCAGTTCTTTCAAGATTACAGGTAAATCGCTCTGATAAGTCCCGACTACCAAAAATAAAACTAAGAGCGCTGCCTACCGAATGCATTCAACTATCCGACATAGTGCTTTAGGATGTCCAATCATTTAAAATAGCGGCCACTCGTTGCAACTTGATTCTATTGTATTTGATCAACACTAGGAACTAAATAAAGATGATATTGTTTATTGATGGATAATTAACTTATATTGACGATAATTAATCTGTCCTTATAAATCAAGTTGGGCTCATAGCCGGCCACATAAATATCACTTCTATTGGTTGATTATTTCATAATAATTCTTATTGTACCTCGACTTAGGATATATTTTTTCTATGAATACTGATAATAATAATATCATGAACTTTTAAGAACAGTTTTTCCTGTTTACATCAACATTGCCCGATAATATCCATGTCAGTTGTGTATTGTATCACATGCAATAAAATATGATATTCTATCAATTCTAATCAACCTATATAAGCACACACAAGATTGAATTACTTCTGTCCTATTAGTATTATTATTCGATCTTATCTTTCCTGTATTTGTTTGTCTATTGTTTTTATTATATTCTAAACACTCACATGACAATTTATATGACATAAAATATAATTATTAATTCTTTTTCTTAACCCTTTCCAATCGTTCATTTTATTTACTGTGTTATTTATTAGTTAAGTTGTAATTACAGCACAAATGAATACTTAAACGGTGATTAACATACTATTTTAGTGATTTAATATGAATTGGACAATAGTTACAATACTCTAAGAAACGCTTGAGCTATTTATAAAAGAATTTAAAATGAATGTTTTACTCTAGTAATTTCTCTAATCTAGGCTATAGTTCGTATAATATTTCAGAAATTGTTCTTTATGTTATTTGTTTTAATGATATACGTAGGTTACTGGTATTCAATCACAGGCGTCTACACAGCATTGCTTTTGTATTTTGGGACCACAGAGTAAACTATGCCTGGATTAGGAATGGAGTACTAGATAAAGATGAGAAATCGATGAATGAGGTAGTAAATCTTCATCATGATGGAGATTTGTAGCTCAGGTGGATGATTTTGATGGGTTTTTATTCTCTGAGCTGGATGGTTTGTTCGTGGAGCTTTCAGATAGAAGTCTATCCGAAATTTGTGCTGATGGTGTCGTTCAGAAGAACGATAAAAGCTCCACGATTAAACCATCCAGCTCAGGGAACAAAAATCCATCAAAATCTTCATCAAGTGAGGTAGTTGGGACATATGTTACGTATGCCCAACCACCGTCTACCTCGGCGGGCGATGTTTTCTGGTGCAGGAGCAGGTTGGAAGGAAGCTAGAGAATCGTCAAACTAAAACATGGCATCTGTTCATGTAGCCACATGGAATCAGACTAAGCCATGTTATTAGGTACAGACAACCTGGTTGGGTTCCGTGTGATTATCGTAATAAATGATTAGAGACCTTGAATAACATGGTTCAAAATCATCGTATCTTGGATGCCCAGTCTTTCCTGTTATCACTGATACTGTTACTATCTTTACTATTCTGAGACAATTATATAAGACTTTCTTAGCTTTTGCCACTTTACACGATATTCTCTGCTCATCAAAGGTTGAGTATGCTGTATAGCAGTTCTCTATGTATTACTTTATTACTGTGGGAATTGAAAACATCTTTAGGCTCTTAGTATTCAGTGCCCTCCAAGGATTGTTTGCGTATGGTAAAATCGTCTAATAATTAATCCTGAGTTTATGCGTAGTGTTTTGGGTGGAAACTTATGCAGTAGGATTTTACAATCTAATAAATAGATTTTTGATCATTAAATGAAAGGAAAGAATGCTGATCAGTGAATGATATGAAGTTGCTCAGTGCTGACCGAATCATTGATGTAAACTCTTGAATTGTTTGAGATCAAAAATATGACTATTAGCCAGAGTAATAGGTTTTTCTCCAATAAAGTAGCATTCTTATATACAAAATATTGAACTCAAAAACAAATGTGATTAAGTATTACAGCCAATTGGGGAAATTCAGTTTTGTAGGTCAGTCATTCTAAAAACAACTAACATGCTACTCATCGTTTCAGAAGCAGCCATTGTATTCTGATAAGGCCATAAACTTTCAACCAATGAGCTAGCTGAGTGATCAATGTTCCATTGGAATAGCTGCATTATTTCCAAATGACGAAAATGCCGTAGTTGTCTATTATTGATAGGGAAATTCTCCTTGGTTCTTTACACATTTCATTTTTACAGTTAGAAAAAAAGCACTTTGTAAATTTTCAATTTTCTATCATGATTCCAGTGTCGTTTAGATCGTTTCCTACGTCATATTAAATAAATAAATTGTCGTCTAAATAAGTAATATTTTTCGTATAGTTATCGTTATTATTCTGATTTTTATCAGTGGTATTCGGATTAAACTTAATAATAACAACTCATTATTCCAGTTTTCAAGGAATGTACTTATTTCATGTGTGGTTATATATATATATATATATTGCGTCATCACAAATACCGTTTGATGTGACTATTACGAACAGTCACTTATATTTACAGAATTGTTTTATTGGTTGGTTAAATTGTTTACGTAATTGATTAAAAAGTGTTTATTTTCAATTCAAATCAGTTTAGAATGGTCGATTATGTTTGATGTTTTGTTGTTGTCTCAATTATTTATAACTCGGTGATCAAAATAGAAAACAATTGACTGTTAGGATCAAGTTCAACATGTTTTTCTCCTCCTCCACCTCCTTCTCTTCTTCGTCTTCTTCTTCTTCGTTTGTTTAGTGTTATCGTCATTTTTTCGTTAGTCTTGTTCATTCTATGCTAGCTTCTTTTCGATAATTCTGTTAATACAGAAGAGAAAAATATTGATTGTTATGAATGATTTTTGATCCTGTAATCGTCACTTAATTCGTCTGTCCATCATAGATTTATCGAAAATTCAATAAACATATCCAATATGGAAATAATACACTTATTTTATACATGAGGAGTGTTTAAAGTTGGAGTATTATTGACGAAATGTTCTTGTATTATTTTTTTGAACCAGTTTGATACTCGCAGTATTTTTTTCATAAGGTTTCACTCGTAAACGGTCTAAAATCGATTATCATACCACTTAATAGTTGAGTCGAAATTCAGGTATTTTATCAACCAAGTTTAGGCCACATTGTGTGTGTTCTTATACGTATGAGTGAGACAGTCATACTGTTATTCAGTTACCGAAACTGAAGTAAGGGAGGAGTAGTGTTTGTGAAGTTGGCACTTTCTCGAAAGTCTGTCTTTAGCAATAATTTTTTTATGTACTGAATAATCATTCATTTTCCACATCATACTACTCGTCCAAGTCACATGATGATTCGTTATGAGAATAAAGTTTGATTGACACACACATACACAATATCGATATCATTAACGTCAGTTTGATTACGGATATATATATATAGTGCCTTTAGTTTCAAGGATATTGTTCTTCGTCAACCTCGTTGGTTCGGCAAAGCATTAGAACAAGTGTTACGATCAGTAGTAACCTCGTTTAACCTGTCAATTATATTATCATATCGACTATTGATGTGCACTTGAGTATTTTTTTCACATTCTTCAAATTATTATTCTTATGTTATGATCCTTTTTGCGCTTCATGTTTTTTTCTAATTTTATAGCTTAGTCGCAACCTATCTATTACACAACGGTTTCCTTGAGTCGGCTCAAGCTTTAGGCGAATGGGTCACAAAGGCTTCTATCGATTCTTCTACTACGACCAATGAAAACAATGAGTTTACTGATAATAATGACTATAATGTACATCATAATGAAGATAGCAGTAGTAATTATGACACAAACGGTAAATCACCTGTAAAATCATCTGCATCTGAAACACCGAATGGTAGTTGTCCATCGTCTATAAACAAACATATATATCAAATAGATTCAATAACAAATTCTACAAATGGCACTTGTCATTTGAACAACGATCACAATCATAGTAACCACAATAATACTGACACTGATAATAACGGTATTACTTTCGATGAACTAGGTGGTGAACAACAATCAAAGTTGCCAACAACAGCGCCAACCAATCAACATTATCAGTCGAAGGTAAATTTAGTCAAATCATCGAAGGATACAATCCTAAATGATTTATTTCGTTGGCCTGAAGCTGTAGATATACTACTTAGACGAAGACATTTAAGAGAGACTATTCGTAACGGTGATTATTTATCTGCATTAGATCAATTAAAAGCTTATTTCAAAACATTATGGGAAAATGATCCATCTATTACGTTTGTATTAAAATGTCATCATTTTATAGATTTAGTAAGTTGTTTCTTGTTGTTATTTTAAAGAAACTAACATATTTAACTATTACTGTTTATTTATTTATGCAAATATTGGTACAAGGAGGTACCAAATATATATGTGCCAGAAAAATCGAATAATTTGTGTGGGGGCTGGAATACTACTCAGACGCTCAAACCGAAGCAGATGGCTTTCTTTGGGAGCCGCAGCCTGGGCCTTTGACCTAAAGCTCTAATCCGCAAGCAGTGGAGAAACTTTAGGAGATACAGTCCCATGGTGGCCCGTGGTCAACAATAGGTCCACACACTATTTGTCCCTCATGATCCTAGAGCCAATGTGGACCATGGGTTTGGAGTCAGGATTTTCCAACCCCCTTCATTAAATCCCTCATACACGCTAACCAGGTTAAGGCGCTGGACATTCACTTTTCGTCCTCTCAATCTCGTATACAGCACGTCTGCCGCGAGAAGGCAACGAATAGGATTTCACTGGTAGTGATTGTATACGTGTGGCCATGTGAAAGCATTTCTAGAGGGGTGCTCGAACCTATGATCTAATAAGTAAACAGTTATGCAGTTTACTTTCTAAGGCTCTATTTTATATTTCATTAGCTGATCAGTTTAATCTAAAGTTCATTTCCTTTGTTCATATTATCTTTTTTATTATACTTTATCGACGCACCTTTGTTGTTGTTCGTTTTCATTGAGATTTGAACACTTGGTCGGTATGATCATCGCTTTTTCCCAGCCATCATTGTATTTTGTTGATTTCCTGAATACATAGGCTGCCAATCAAGGATCTCCGACCAATTTTGTCCCGGGCTCTGTTTTCTGGTTACTGCGAAGTGCTACTCTTCCTTTTTATGTGTCTCCGATTTCTAGCGCCATGTGTTCTTCGACTTACCTCTTTTTCTTTTACCTTGAGGACCTCACGTTAGGGATTGCCTTGTGGAGTTTAATGATTTCCGTGAAGTGTTATTTTTTTCCCTCTAGTTTTTTTCCCTAGTTCCCTCCTCATCTGGTAGCTAGTTTGCTCGCTACCACAGGTGGATGTCTCTGATGATGTCTGAACAGTGAATTTAGAGTACCTTGTGTAGACAGCTGTTCATAAAATCAGTATAAGGTTGTGGAGATCATTGAGTTTTAATTGAAATCACAAACCGATCAATGTCACCACCATTCAGAACCTGGAAGCACTGGACGGCCGTTTCGTCCTAGTATGGGACTCCTTGACAGTGCATATTTACGATCCCGCAGGCGGGAATTGAATCCAGGACATTCAGTTTCTCGCGAACACTTAACCTCTAGTGAGCCGGCATTCAACGGTGTTAATGTTTAACTTTACAAAATGCTTGTACTTTAATGATGATAGTTGTAGTAGTTCTTCACGTCTCAGTTTCGTACTATTAAACTGTCTCGAGTTTTGTTTTGAAGATTTTAACTTGGATGTTAGATGACAGTTGTTTTGAGTTCCTCATGTTCTTCAGTTGTAGAAATGCTGCCCTTGACTTGCCAGTTCATGCCTTCACATCTGCGTTAGATCCCCTTTACTTATTAATGATATTGTCCAGATATTTAAAGGCTCCTACCGCTTTCAGAGCTTGATCATTTAGTGTGATTTGGTTAGTGCTTACTGTATTGTATTTCAGATGTCCTGAAGTATTTACACGGTTACACCCGCAAAATTCATAGTGTATGACACTAAAACATAAAACAGTGCTATATCAGTCTTTGTGGTTTAATTTAACTTGGTCATTATTGTTATTACTATTTTTTTGTTAGTTGCAACGTACTGATTTATATTTTTTATTTAACATAAAAAGAGATATCAATCATCAAAACACTGTTGCACTTTTACAGTTCACGCTTTTAACGAAATTTTTTCCATCACCCTGACAAGCAAAACACTCACGAAATCGCATGAGTTTTAATTTTAGCAAAAAAAGAGATAAAATTAGGTGAACTAACTAACATGCTGTACTCGTTTAATTAATATGTCGACTGTTTCAGTGTGTTGTATACACATTTGCACATCAGATGTGTAGATAATTCAGTTAAGTATGAACAGGTCAAGGCTGTGCAGGATTATAGGATATATATATTTGTTGATAATTTCACCATCTATCTATTGATAATATATACATATAGTACACTTCTATTAAAAAAGGGAAGGTGATAAAACATTTCCTTAAAATCGATTATATTCATGTTTTTTGGTCGACCAAGGTTTGTCAGGTTTTTTCTCTCCATGTTAAAATAATGGGTGATCGTAAAATTATCGATTCAGTGCATACATCATATCTCCAAACTTTAATAGATGATAGATACTTGAAAGTGAATAGCGTAGTTGTTATAGCTTACTATCTGTTTGAATTTGTGAAATTTGAAGGATTCTTTCATCAGGAGAATATCGAAGAAAACGAAGGTTGGGATAAATGAGATTTATAGCTTAGACGAATGAATTTAATAGTGTGATATTGTCTGAGCTGAACGGTTTAATTGTGAAACTCCCGTTATCGCTGTGGACAATATAAGCGCTTACTTCGCGTGTGAATGTTCTTTTTGATTACTCAACAGGTATTAATTCAATCTTCTCTGGTGACCTTGTTTCCACCTGTTTGCCTTCACAGCTTTGATTATCTCGATGTGCTCCCATTGACTGCTTTGTTCAGTTGACTCTTGATCATGTGATTGGCTAACATTCTTGTCCTACATTCATTAATTGGTTCCATTATAATGTATGCTGATCACATATTGACTCGAATTTATACAGATAGATACATACACAAATTTAATTGCTAATATGTCAACATTCTGAATAGGATAAATTCTATAATTTTTAGGGTGTATTTAGGAGCACAAATGAAGTATTGAAGGTAGGCACTGATAATGATGTCCAGAACGACAACGACAGTCTCTCAATTGAAAACCATCCAGTTCAACAAATATCAACACTAGAAAAAGTGAAAGTAATTCTTGACTTGATTGTAATATTTATAATAATTCTATGTAAATTGCTTTTAAGGCAAGGAACTTAAGTAAAACAACCGATTTGAGTTTTCTTCTTGCTTACGAAATCGAATATGAAACAATCATATAGATTCAATATTAGAAACTGAATACATTATATGAGATGTCGAACAAACAAAAATATCAGCATGGGTTGTGGAGATAATTGAGTTGTAATTGAAATCATGAACGAGTCAGTGTTAGACTAACGTTGAAAACCTGGAAGTACTGGACGGCCGTCCCGTCCTAGTTTGGGACCCCTTGACAGTGCACACTTAAGATCCCGCACGTGGGACTAGAACCCGGAACGAAACGTTCGTCCAGTGCTTCCAGGTTCTCAATGGTGGTGTAGCATTGATCAGTCCATGATTTCAATTAAAAACCAATAATCTCCACTACCTTATACTGATAATCATCATGTGCTCACTAGTGACTATCTTCGAGAGGTGATTCTCGGAGTTTTAGTGCGAAGTTGTTACCAGTGCAGTTTAATCTTGTCGGATGTGAGGCAGTTACCCACCGGAAATAGAAATATCACAAAGATAATGTTAGTTCGCTAACCAAATACTTCATTTACTCATCTTTAAATTACGTAAAACGTCATTGATGTCACCGAACTGCCCAAATCCAATTAAATTATGGCAAGGTTTAAATCTACGATCAAACAATTACTTAAATACTTAAATAACTCTTCAATGTACATATAGTAATATCTCGCATAAATGTCAAATATAATTATTGTCGACATCGTATAAAAAATGACTATTATTTATATTTAGTCTATTTAAACTGACAAAATTGTTACAACTGAAGCATCAAAATTAATATGCACTAAACAAAATTAGAATACAACTTTGTGAAGAAATAAGGAAGGTAAGTTAAAATGCAATCGATAAACAAATAGATGAACCGGAGTAGTTATACAATGCAAGGTACATTTCGGTTAAAAAGACAACAAAGATAGACTTCATCCAATTAAAGGAATTCATTTCAGTTTCATACAAAATGTAAAAGAAAACTACAGCAGAATTTCCATTAGCTTCTATTCTAAACCATGTTCAATAACTTCTCTAGGCACTAAGTTTCATTATCTCTACAAAACCAGGCAAGGATTTGTGATGAACTGACAGATGTTAGTCTTATATAACTTTCTTTCATTCTACGACAACCTGTCATAAACTGATTAACTTTACACTGCCCCCTTTCCAGCTTCAGCAATTCATACACGATGTGTTCACAACTATTAGCACATATACGATCTGTTTTATACTTTGCCTGACATAATAATTTATCGCATATATTGATTTCTCAAATGATAAATTTTCCCTAATGGTCGTTTAAATTTATCCTTTTAAAAACCTTTATTAGCTTGCTTGTTATTATCTACAAAACATATACTACATGATCACTTCTGTAGAATTAACCAATCATTTACTTTGTTCTTACAGACAGTAACAGCGTATAAATCATTTAAATTTATTGAGTTTTGCTTCCCTCCTTTGGAATTTTTTCGTAATGTTGCAAAATTTTCGTTACCGACAAATTAAATAAACTGATTGAATGTAGAAAATAAAGTATAACAACTATCAACTGTTTATCTATCCTATTTACGGCTGATTGACTTACTAAAACACCAGATTATTCGTATATAAAACTTTGTATTGATATGTATTGATTTTGTTTTTCAATCACGTGAACTATATATATGAAATTCGTGATATGATTGATCACGGGATTGGGAAATCTTGTGATATATACATTTATTCAGTGAAGTACTTTTCTTCTTTAAATCATATATTTTTATTTCTGTAATTCCTATGTGGTTTCAGAATAACAATTTGATGTGCATTGTTTGCTTGTGTTAAAGAGGAAGGGAGAGAGAGAGAGACATTAATGGGATATCTGACGATTGTCATTATTTATATTTAAATATTTTTTTCAATAGTCAGTACAAAATGATTAAAAGTTGTGCATCATCTGATTAATAATAGTATGAATGTCGTTGAGAAGAGATTTCTTCTATTTTTACAAGGTAAATCTTCCATTCATGTGCATTAAGCGTTCCATATATTTATACACGAAGGATAATTGAACTGTGTGCACAGTTCAAACTTTTTTGTTCACCTTTCAAGAGCATTAGCTATTAGTTATATGCGATATGTTTATTACCTATTAAATATACTCTGTAAAAGTTTTCTCATTATTATTAAATGTTCTTTCATTAAATTGTATTTCAAATCAATCTCAATCTATACTAATTTTGTTTGTTTACTTAAATAGTACCCACAATAAAGCAAAAAAAATTGTTTTTTGTTATATTCCAGTGAGTAGAAAGTTGTATTTATGACGTTTCATGACTTAATGTAAACCATGTTTTTATTTACTCTAAAGTAATGGGCTTACATAAAGTTATGAAACGTCTGAAATACAATTTTCTACTCACTGTCGTATCACAAAATTATGTTTAACCTTATATCCAATCCTCAATTTATTCAAAACTATCAAATCAAACCTTGGCATAGATACCTACAAATACAATAAAATAATAAATCTCAGATTGATACCTACTTTTGTATATAATTCCATAGATTCCCTGTTAAATTAGAATATATCATACAAATAGAAATTTTTAATAAATTACAAAGCGTAGCACTGAATAATACTCCACATTCTCTTCAATAAGATTTGGGATGAGGAACAAGTACCAACAGACTGGAAAGAAGGACTTCTGATCAAAATACCGAAGAAAGGCGATATCACCAAGTGTGACAACTACAGGGGCATCACTCTTCTCTCAATACCGGGAAAAGTCTTCAACAGGGTATTGTTAAACAGGATGAAGGACTGCGTAGACGCCCAACTTCGTGACCAACAGGCAGTATTCCGTAAGGATAGATCGTGTACAGACCAAATCGCAACTCTACGGATCATTGTGGAACAATCAATTGAATGGAATTCGTCACTCTACATCAACTTCATTGACTACGAAAGGGCATTTGATAGCGTGGACAGAACAACACTATGGAAACTTCTTCGATACTACGGCGTGCCTCAGAAGATAGTCAATATCATACAGAACGCAACAACAAATGCAGGAGAAAACGACCAGTGTAGCAGCAGCCTCCGCAGTAGTAGGTCTCAATATACACAAAGGGAAAAACAGGACTCTCCGATACAACACAGAATGCACCAATCCAAACCTTTACGTATTTGGGCAGCATCATTGATGAACAGGGTGGATCTGATGCAGATGTGGAGGCGCGGATCGGCAAAGCAAGAGAAGCATATTTACAACTGAAGAACATCTGGAACTCAAAGCAACTGTCAACCAACACCAAGGTCAGGATTTTCAATGCAAATGTCAACACAGTTCTACTGTATGGGGCAGAAACCTGAAGAACTACGAAATCTATCATCCAGAAAATACAGGTGTTTATTAACAGTTGTCTACGCAGAATACTTCAGATCCATTGGCCGGACACTATTAGCAACAACGTACTGTGGGAGAGAACAAACCAGATCCCAGTGGAGGAAGAAATCAGGAAGAAGCGCTGGAAGTGGATAGGACACACATTGAGGAAAGCACCGAACTGCGTCACAAGACAAACCCTCACATGGAATCCTGAAGGCCAAAGGAGAAGAGGAAGACCAGAGAACACATTACGCCGAGAAATGGAGATAGACATGAGAAAAATGAACAAGAATTGGATGGAACTAGAAAAGAAGGCCCATGATAGAGTGGGTTGGAGAATGCTGGTCAGCGGCCTATGCTCCATTAGGAGTAACAGGCGTAAGTAAGTAAGTAAGTAAGCACTAAATAAGAGTACTTGTAAAAACCTACATTTACATCGTTGTATGTGTTGCGTTCAATTAAAGGAGGGACATGTTTAAATTATTTATAAAACTTGTTTTTACATTCAACTAAGTCTTGTTTGATAACATCCTAGATTCTCAGAAAAATGTTTTCATTAAATAAACTTTGAAAAATTAAACGATAGGGTTGTAATAATTATATTATTTCATCCTTCAAATAACAATAAGTTGTGAGTTTGAACTCCAGCTCCAAGTACTTTTTATTTTGATATATACATCAATTGAAATGACCAATTATGCTGGAACTACTATTCAAACATTTGACTATAAAAATATTAAACTTATTTAATTTTTAATAACTGAACTACCTAGAATCTGTTCAACCTTAATTCTAATTAGAACATGTTTTCAAGTTTTAACAACATGATACAATACAATAATAGTTGAATTGAAAAAAAAAATCATAAAAATAAAACATCACATAGTTTTATTTAAAATAGGTTACTTATTATTTTTTCTTTCGGGTCATTTGATTAATCTAATTTCAGTATTATACATTAAGTACATTTAAGTCTTGTGAAATAAATTACAAAAGTCCATGAACCTTAAATTGTATGTGAATGTGTAATGAAAGAGTTGATTATTTTGTTCAATTTCATAATTTTCAGTGATCATCATATCATTATTGTATTCTTGTTGTTTATATTTCATTTTATGTTTATATTTTATGTATTCACTTATTCATTCATTTATCTTAGTTTTATTAATCAAATTGGTAATTTTAAATTATTGATACTGAGGTTATCTGTTACATATTTTAATATTTAAAATAATATGACATATAACCAATACTTTCGTTCATTTTTCTATTCTTTAAGTGAATTAATGTCTCATATTAAAGTGTGATTTTTACTAGAGAGATTTCATTTCAAGTCCCAACTTTCAATAGATTTGTGTTTTTAAATCTTGCATGCTATGCTGTGCTATACTGACATGTTCACATCGGACAGCTTTAAATGATTTCAGATGTGCTTAGTCAATCAGTTAAAAGTAAAACTTTGGTACGTGTGTACATCATTTCAAGTTGCTATAGCCTATTAGCATAGCGAAATGAAATTTTTAGGGTGAATTCCGAGGATAGTAGAATTAATAACATTATTAATGGCAATGGAAAAGTTTACGCTTTGAAAATACAACTCGAGAAAAAAATATAAACTAATTAAATAAAAAGTTTATGAGGAATTTAGAAACTTAAAATTGAAGAGAAGACAAAGAGTGAATGCACATGAACTTCAAACAGCTAGTCTACACCTGTTACCATAGCTCAGTCTAATTCCCAGTGACTTCATGAACTGTTGCCATTTTTTTTTTATTCAGCCGCGCCTACCTTTCTTCTAATCTACTCCTGACATCTCTTGTCAAGTTAGTCAGTGGGCTTCTGAAAAATGATCGAAAAATCCTGGATATAACATATTACTTGAAAATTGCATATGTGACCGATAATCTCAGTTATATTGTTTTAATAATTATAGTTCAAAAAGTTTTTCTTTGGAAAAGTTTGTCATCATACGTTTATTACGATCTTTACTAAACTTTAATTAAGAAAGAATTTAAGTTACAATAATATTAACATTTTCATTTATTTGTTTCTGATAGAATGTTATGTCTAATTGTAATTTTAATGCTTCAAAATGATATCGCTCACAAACTATGTATTTTTGTTTAATATTTTATATACAGTCATTTTCGATTGATTAAATTAATCTTTTTTTTTCTATTAGGATAAAAGGTTTGTATAAATTATCCAATTTGAGATTTGTTTTCATCATAAATTGACAATATTTCAAAAATCCATTGAAAATCAGAGAAAACACTGTTAGGTGAACGTTTCATTTTGATATAATGTGACTGCTTTCATAATGGCACATTTATTATTTCACGTTGAGTCGTAGCCAGAATGTTTAGGTTTTCAAGCGAGCACAACACTGTATATGATTCCGAAATTAGATTAAAACCATTGTCTAGATGTTAATTCTCGATTATGATGACTATGTTTCCAGTTGGTTAGCGGTAAAAACTATTTACGAACAATTGAGGATTTCTCTAATATGAACAACAACAAATATCAACTCGAATAGGCCGATCATATATCGCACAAGCAACACTTCAAAGCTAAAACGGAACTTTCAGAATAACTCCATATTTCTCACAGAAATCAAATTTGAAAAGGAACAACTGATTTTATGGTAGCATACAATGACCTTCGGCAACATAACAAACCAACCACATAAACAACCAATCAGGTAACAGTAAATGTTATTGCAAAAATAAGAACTAGAAAACTGTCTCTAATGTTATCTTTTCAAGACCTAACATGTAATAACTGAAATCTCCATAGGACCGTTGTAACGTGGGTATAAGTAACAATTTATGTTGAATGTTACTATTTAAAGTTCTTTTGTATTCATATTTTTGCTTTTGTTTTACAGATACGTCAGCATTATACAACCAATTCTTCCAAAGAACCTGTATGTTTAAACGGTTTACCTGACAATAATAATATTGATAGTAATATTAGGAAAACATTACAGTCTAACGGCTTAGATACTCATCGAAATAATCAAAAGAGAATAAAGCCTTCAAGCTCTTCAGAATCATCACCTGAAATAACAACAACACCTAATAAACATGATTGTCAATGTAAACATTTAATTAATTCTAATCATAATCATCATTCAATGAATTTAGAGCTAACAGCTCTCACAACAATTGATGCTACTAATATTACAAATAATTCTATCATCAATCGACCGTCTTGTTTAACATCAACTACTAATAATTATAATCATTCACATAATCCATCAGATTATCAATCACCTGTTAGGCTTCGTTTTAACCTACCAAGTAATGAATGGAATAATAATGGATTATTATTACCAGCAATAAGTGGTGAATATAGCTCTGAAATTCTACCGTCAGTCTTTCCAAAAAATGGTCCTTCTCTTAATGATAATACTCCTTCTGCTAATGGTACTGGTGTTAGCCTTGACTGTATTACTAATGGTAATAATAATGATAATAATTCATCAGAAATCATCTGTCCTGTTATGTTCCCTGTCTATGCAGAAAACAATCACATTAAGGTAAGATAAAATAAAAACTTATTAAGAATAAATTAATGTGATCTAAAATCTATTTGTTCATTTTTATTGAATGAAAATTAAATATTTTGGTAGGTTGTATTCTCTGAACTGGATGGCTTGGTCATGGAGCCTTCATCGTTCTTCTGGATGACACCAGCACGACCAAACCATCTAGCTCAGAGAACAAAAAGTCATCAAAATCATCCGCATGAGCTACAAATCTCTACCACTTTAGAATTGAATATGTATGTAATTTTCCTACTGAAGTTTAAAGTTGTGATAACACCTTTTTAATGTCTTTTGTTTACTTTATTTCTTAGCACTAGATACCTATAACCGAATTCTGAATGAATTTAAAAAGATTCTAGTGTTGTTATTATTATAAATAGAAGTTCACTATTTGAAATTAAGCCGACTAGAATTTACCAGTGTGATATGATATAACAGTTGTAGAAATTATATTGCGAATTGTCAGCTACGGTTTCCTATTAATTCAATGTTTATTTATACAAAGTTGATATTTGTAATCGTCAACTATGCTCACTAGTAAAATAATCCCCCGTATTTTTTTCATTTCCACTTTAAGTTTGTACGAATACTACGTTGAGTTTTTCACAAAGCAAATAATTATATGCTCAATACTTTTGAATCATTCTTCAGCATTACTTTTGATGAAAATTCCTCAATATACTAGACCCTTTTGTACCAATATTTATTTTTTATTAGCAAAGTGATTGCTTTTATTATCGATGTCTACCTGTGTGCTTCGTGACAATTTTGTTGACTTATTTGAACTAGTGGGTATGTAATACAACTCCCTCAATAGAACTCAATCAACGCCAAGGAATAGACAATATGATATTGGTAACTAACTAGTTAGTTATCGATTGGCCTTTCAAGTACAGTTACTCTAAACTACAGTGTTAACTTCGGAATTTTTTGAGATAGTTAAGTGAATCAACATCGCATACAGTATTTTGATATTTTAGTTAGTTGCAAGTAGTCGACAAAACTAGACAAACATGATATTGATCATTATTTAGCGATCAAACAATTGTAAATATTTCTCAGTTCTACAAGAGAGGTCTTTCGCATTTCGAATATCTGAGTGATAGTGTCTCGAACTGTGAAGCTGAGTCCTACCCATTGTTGCTACCTTGACGTGGTGGTCGGGCTTGCCTATCGTGATGAATCAATCGAGCTATACTGGCTGGAACAATCGTTCCTCAAGGTCCTACCATGCCAGACAAGTCGGTTGAAAAGCCGCAGGACTAAAGGCAGGAAACCCAAGGTCTGAGGGCGAAGTCGTACTGCTGACTGTCCAGAGGTGTGACAACAGTAAGATGTTTCCTTCAGACAACCAGCATGACAGCGATGCTGCCTCCCCACAAGGAGGGGTGCGGTTAAAAAAGGTCGACCCTAAAAATGCACACCCGCCTTATCCCACGGATATCCGTCTCTGGCAGTAAGGTCTCAACAAGTACGGAGCTAACACGAGAATTACCCACAAAAAGGTCGTGTGTGATTGGCCACAATCAGTTGTCCCTTGGGCCTTGCGGTCATGCTCTCAGGTCACTATAACCACTTCTAATCCAATTTCCTTTTCAGGTACCTCCAGAAGAACTCTTCCAGGGTGCGGACAACCGGAAAGTGATAATCGCCCTCATACCTCCAATCAACCTCCCTGTAAACTGAATGTTGCGGGATTAAATCCCACTTGGAACATTATTTCCTTCAAGATTACAGGAAAAAAACTTGCGGATGAGTCTTAACTAACAGAATAACTAGTTTCAGAGTCTCCCATCAACTACCTCCAATCACTTAACATTCAACATAGTGAACATAATGTCGAGTCACTTAAACTAATGGCTAGATCAGAATTCAAGGACTAGATAGACATGACACCAGTTTCTACTTAGTAATGAATCAATTTTGATTGAATTTTATTTGTTGTCCAGTATTCTTCCTAGCTATCTTGCTATATCAAGCAGCTCATATTTGATCACGGTAAAGCCAGTGACAATCATTGCTTACATATAATTCAGTGTTCATTAGTTAAGAAAAAAAGGTTCAGTGTGTAAAATTTCTGGAACACCTGTATATTTTCAACGTCAAATTGACTTAATCCGATAATAAATCTAAAATGGTTCATTTTAAGTTGTAACTTATTAGTTGTTTTGTTCCAACAGTTTTTGTTATCGTTAAGAATGTGAGAAAACATTTTCACCTTAATAACTGTTTACACGGTTAATCTTTCTTGAATATTAAAAAGGATAAATCTGTTCTTAAACTATATTACTTAACCGACAAGCTGTTTCATTCCTATTTAACATAGAAACTATTATATGAGCGTATGTTAGTCATGTCAAACTGAAAGATTATCAGGTGATTTATTTATAAATTCCAACCTAATCCCATGATATTTGTAATAATGATCAGTTACGGAAAACTTCGTAACGGAATCAGCTGGTTTCTTCTTGTTTGATTTTTTGTCAACACTAATTTCAACCATAAATAGTATGATGATAATAGTCTTGATCAATAAGTATATAAGTATTCCTGGAAGATTCCATTGATTATCATCTGTTAATATTACTACATGAATGAAGAAACTTTGGAAATATTAGACTGTAAACACCAAGATTAATAGTAATAATAATAATGTAGGTTAGAAAAGAAAACATATTATAACTCCAAACTATGTTTATGCTCTACTTTCAATCTCTACAGACTGACAATAGAAAATTGATTAGGCCATACAAATGGAATCATCACCTATCGAATTCTTATATTCGACATATTTCATTAACTGGAATGATGTTAGAACCACATATTGAAGGTTTGAATATGGAATTGCGTTTAATTGATTCAGTCAATGATCTAGGTTTAGGAATTGAGTATAAAGGACTGAACTGTTTAACTGTAATACGTCGTCATCGTGGCGGTGTTGGTAATGGTCATTGTCGACGAAAACGAATACATGTTAATAAGTTACACAGTTTTTCATCATCATCATCATTAATATCCTTATCTTCTTATGATCGTTCATATTCAACTTCTAATTCTGTATCATTTAAACCGAAATACAAATCAAAATATCATTTTGATTCCTATCATCATGATCATCATCATCCTTCCATTAATGTTCAAAAACAGGCTAATGAAATTATAACAAATGGCAATTCAATGTATTCACCTGTTGATGATGACTCTACCATATCTTTGTCTAAAATCGATCCAATTGATCATGAGAATAATTCTGTGGAAAATAAACAAAATGGTGATTTGTTTCATTCAGTCAACAGTAATGGATTTTATTTTGATGATTCCATTAATTCTAATCATCATCCACATCATCATCATAATTATTTCGATAATAGTAATAATAATAATAATGGTGATGTTGAAAGTGTGGATCAGATATTGAATAATGAACTACGTGAGTTAATTGAATATGGACGTAATTTACGATCAAGTGCACTAGAATTGCAACGTCAAGGAGTGATCAGTTTGGAACAATGGTTACTTTTAAGTGTAAGTTTTTTTTCTTTTGAATTTGTTGTATTACTGACAATTATCATATGCTCACTAGTGATTAGCTTCGAAAAGAATTTTCCGGAGCTCTAGTGAGAAACAGTGACCAGTGGAGTTCAAACGTGTCGGGTATGAGGCACTTACCCACCAAAGATAATGGAATATGATTGCGCAATATCGTGGATTGGATGAAGTTAGACGTGAACACCGATTCAGTTTTCGTTTTTAATTAATCATAAAGTTGCACTGAATATATAAAGTGATTTAAGTTCATTGGTTGGTTGCACAATGTTAATAAATTCTAGCAGCTATATTCTAAATTTGTAACAGTATCAATAAAAACCTAATCCAGATGACCAAATCCGAGACCTCTAGGTCTCAGGACGAACACCTAACCATTAAAATCACCATCCAGTCACTCCTTGTTCTCAATAGTACCACCAAGCAAAGTCAATCCGTAACTAGTTTCTTCTACAGATTACAATGATCTGCATAAAATCCTCACCTGAGTCGAGTAAAATGTAGTCGTTAAACCGTCACATTACACATTATTGTCATTATGACATTATCCTTACATTCTCTTCATCAGGAAAATTTATTCTGTTTTTTTCTCTCCATTCCTCTTAATTTCTAATAGGATGCATTCAGTTTAGTTGCATATCAAAATCCATACAAAAGTCCGCTTAGTGGTTTGTTACATCCAAAATATCGAGAATTATTAGCTGATGCTGTAAATGATGCTATTTTGGGTAAGTCTAACCCTATTTACAGTTATTTTCCTATTTATGCATAAACGTCCATCTGTTTTCCTTCTTTTTGACTGGAATCCTTATTACTATCTTGGAACATAATTGTTCATTTAAAGGATTTTGTGTATTTTTTTATTATTTCGTCTTTGTGCACAACACATCTATTATTGTCCTGATATTCAATACCATTTTGTAGTTCTTTCTACGAAATGTTTGTTTCTTCTATGCTAACACACATCACAATATTCGAATTATTCTACTACTGTTACACGTAGTAGGTTTTCTGTGTAATTTCAAGTAAATATTAATGACAGAAAGCTTAGATAGTTGGTATTGTGTGAAAAATTTTCCCAATTAAAGTAGTTTGCTTGTCATGATGAACCAAAAATCAGCTAGACAATCATGAAAGCCAATATTCTGAGCACCAAATGGTTATATGTGTTTTAACCATGTAATCAACTACATCTAGTGATGATAGTTTTCTGAATCGATTAAAGTTGGAAATGGGTAGCATTTGATTCTCAAACACTGATTCGATGGTATACTACTCATCTGGAATCTATGTCGTTTTGTGTTTAATTCTACCGTGAGCTTTTGGCGGCTCTATCAATAACCTGTTCAACAGTTTAATTAAATAAATTATATCCAGTTCTATCTAATTTTCCAAGTTTTCTAAACGATTACCACAGGTTTGTGATGGAAACTATTTTTGTAACTATTAAAAAATCTGTACAAAAATTGATGACAGCAGTAAGAAGAACATTGTACCTACGTTTCGTGATTGTTCACACTCATCAGGACAGTGTAGCTACAATCTCGAGATAATTGATGTTGCACATAGAGTTCACATCCATGTTACTAAGTTTTATAGTTTGAGATGCTACCACTGAGTGGTCCGAATATACATATCATTTTCATCTTGATTGTAAGACATATACATTTGCATTACTACATTGTCTGGTTAACAAATTTCAATATCACAAATTACCATTTCAGTCCACTTTGTAATGTTTGTCAAAAAAGAGTTAATGTCTATTAGAGATTTTACGCTTCAAATAAACAGAAAAAACAACAACATTAATTCATTCACATCTGTTTTAAAATAGAATGGAATTTATTTTGTAGTAAAACTGAAAAATCTTTATTTGTTCAATTACACACTGCTCATATGATAAACTGCTTTTTTTTCGTTGTTCCTGTCCCATGTGTGTGTGTATATAGACATACACGACATCTACTGGTATCAATTGGAAGTTGACAGTTGAATCTTTGTTGTTCTTTCTCTTAACAAGAAAAATCCAGTGTTAATTAACATTTTCATCAATAGTCAATTCATTTAATGAGAGGTAGATTAGACAAATTGTAATGTGTAATTATCATTTATAATAGAAATGATCTATATCTATATATTAGTCTGGCTTACATCAGAATTGTTTACAGTTTATCGTGTAATTAAATCATTGTAATACCATAACAATTTTTTCATTTAAACTAACCATTTGTTGACTGAATATAATTGGATGACGCACTGAATTATTTGACTTCATTGGTTATGACTTCTTCCTAGAACCTTAATAAATCCGTTTGGAACTAGTCATTGTGTGGCATTGTTGTGTTTGAGAAAACTAGAGATCGCTGGGTGTGCACTGACGAGGGAGGATGCAGTCACGTTACTATCTAAAGCTTTTAAGTCTTCAGTGATTATGTGACAAATTTCAGTATGTATTAGTGCTGTTTGTTTATTCGACTGTATTTTATTGGTTGGTCATTCCAATTTACAACCATAACTAAGCGTTGAGAATTGACCTTTGCATTTTTTCCTTAAAAAATTATATATATATATATATCCAACTCACCATATAATTTCGTGGAGATACTTGATACGACTAAATATGACGGCACTGATATCAAACTCTTTTAACCAATATACTCAGATAACATGTATAAACTCAGTAGAAAATTGAAATAGAATGTAATACTAGTAGTTAGGTGGTAGATCATTTTTACTTATGGAAAGACAGATGGGATTGGGTAACAGGCTACTGAACGGTTGGGTAGAGTGTTAAGAAATGACGTGGATGTTTGACCGTCAGGTTTATGACAGTTAAGTCTTTTAAAACTAACGAGCCCAGCACTGATGTTGAGTGTCTGTTGGTATATACATGGTTTGTTGGATTATTTACATCTACAAAGGGGATCTGTTGATTTAAGATATTGAGGGGCGTGAATAACTTGGAAGTAGGATTTTTGTAGTTTGATAAATTGTTTTAGTCAAGCGGTTTAACTGTTTAGCCTGTTGTTCTCAAAAGTCTTTAATGACAAGTTTGGTATGTTAAAAAATTTATAACAGTTTTATTACTCGTTTTCCTCATGTTCGATTACAGTGGACAACTTTTAACAAAAGAGAATAAATAATGATAAGGTGTTGTAACAAAAATGTCCCCTTTATGTTTGTTTAGCAATCTCACCCAGGAACTTCTGACTTGTAGTAACGTTGAAAGAAAAAAGCTTTTGCAGCCATTAATCATCTTAATGATCGAATTCATTAGTTAACCGACGTCAGACCACTATTGAAAACCTGGAAGCACTGGACAGCCATGGATGCTCACTGCTGAGGAGTCCCATACTAGGACGAAACGGCTGTTCAGTGCTTTCAAGTTTTCAATCGTGACATAGCTTAGATTGACTCGTGAATTCAACTGTTAAAATACTACGATCTCCACAAATCCCCATGGTGATATTAATCATTTCTTCTTTATAACAGATAAAATTTAAATTATTTAAAATTATGTCATCATTTGTTTATTTTTATGTCGAATTTTACTTTCTCCAGTGCATTTAAAACAACCTTGTCGTCCGGTTTTGGATATAGCTTTAACATATTTGGAGCATGTTTTAACCGATGAAGGATCATCGTGTAAAACAACCAACAATGGTCCCTTTGGTTTTTATCGTTTCAAATCTGGTCAGTCAAATGTTAGCGGGTTGTCTGTTGATCCTTTACAAAATAGAACTCCTACTGCCAGGACTACTGCTGATGATATTTGTCTTACATCTAGAACTAATCATACACCAACTCATGAATCTACAATAACACCTGCTTCACGTGATACACCAACTACACCAAATCGTAGTATAGCAATAGGTATCATGCATCGTGATGATATTGATGATGAACCACGGCATATAACAACTGATATTCAAACATATGCTTTGAGTTTAAATGAATTCAATGGTTCTACAAATCTACTTCGTCCTGCTAGTACTTCAATTATATCCAGCTCTTTGTATGTTCCTCCATCGGCTTTAATTTCATTAACTGGACGAAATAATAATCCAATTACTCGAAGTTCCGACATACAGAGATCATCATTATCAACATCACGCACAAGACCAACAAGTTTACAAAACTTAATTCATCAACGACATCAGTCACAATTACTTGATAATCAGAGTACTACTACAATGACTGGTACCACTACTACTACTGCTACTACCAGTAGTAGTACTTCATCACCTTCACATTTCAATCGCTTTCTAGTCACAACAGCTAGTTGGCCTGCTTCCACATCTTTTTCCTCTTCAACATCAAATAACACTACTACTACTACTAGTACTACACAAAATCTTAATCGTTTCTCACCTTCACGTATTACCGTTACCTCTTCTCTTACTAATACGCATGCACCAACTGGACCGGAATTAGCAGGATTTTTTCATCCAATTTTATTTATAGGATAAACGAGATTTTTCTATGCGTACATTGTCGTTGTTGTTGGTGTTGTTTTTCTTTTTAAAGGATAAAAAACCATAAGATTAGATGAATTTTCAGTCTATACTTTTTCCCTCTGGGTATTTTCCTTCCTTTATCTGTTAACATGCACCATATCCTCTCCCTTGCCCTAACTATACTTCAGTTTAATCCCCCCTCCCTATCTTATTTCAATTACCAATGTAATTATAATCCCTTCATAATGGATGTTTGTTACTTTGTTGCTTTCATATTTATACTTATATTATGGTATATTGATTTGCAGTTGTTTAATTATTATTACTATAAGTGATAATTTCTTTTTACTTTAGACAACTATTTTCAGTTGTGAATTGACTTTGTTCCTTTTTTAAAGAATGTAATTAAATGATTAAATTTGAGGAACATATTGTTTATGCAATCCTGTTTCGATGGTTAAATGTATTATATTTAATGATATTTATACACTCAGAGGCATGCAAACGATAAACACCATAAATACAATCGATAGGTAAATAAATGACAAACAATAAGAGTAAGGAAAATTAAAGAAAACAAACGATGGGATTATTTGTTATACAAGGAAATAAAGAATACAAGATGAATTACTAATGTAAAATTCATAGGATTATTGATCTCAAGAAAAGAAAGAAACAAAGCAATAATGAGGTAGGCAGGTGATGTATACACTAACATGTTATTCTTTTCAAAAATATACGTATCCAGGTAGTTTATTCTTATTCACTTAAATCATCATCTGTTTAGATCATACAGTTAATAATGATTATGAATACACAGTTGCTGTGCTCAAGATGAAAAGTATGCTGATCTACTTCTTTGTGTGTGTGTGTGTGTTCGTATGTGTACGCCTATGTTTGTACTTTTTTTATTTTTTACTAAGGTGGAACAAAAACTTCGTTCTTTTTTTCTGATAACTACTATTTTTTTTAAAGAAAGAAAATACTACTAATTATATCCCCCTCCCTTTTTGTCGAGAAATTTGTTTTCCATTGTTATTACTTGTATTTCCCTTCTTTTTATGTCTTTCTGTAATAAACTCTTCTCACTAGTTGACCACATTTTTATAAATTAGAAAAGTATACTTTTAAAAAGGAATAAATGGTTTACCTGATATTCTTGACTTTCTTAATTATCTTGTGAAAAACAGTTTATTATTCTTGTTTATTTGCTAATAACTTGTGGCCAACAAAATCCACTAATGTTAATAATAAATAGATTATTTATATTGACGCCCCTCCCCCTTTAATAAATTTTCTGCACAGTCTGTTAACCAATCAGTTTTAATTACGTGACAATAATATACACATGTGTTTGTTTAATCCTATACATTTACTTATTTTCTCTTACATATACACTTGTGTAATACAATCCACTTAGACTTTCCTTTCACCATATCCACATATGATTAAGTTTTCTTTTGATGGGAGAGAGAGAGAGGCGCTGAGTTGGTCTCTTTTCACTATCTTCAATCGTCTTTTTATATTATTTTCAACAAACAGAGAAAATAATCTGATATTACTATTACTATCACAAATATTATTACTGTTACATGATTTGTTTAATTCAATCAACTATATTTGTTTGTATTATTATGCAATTTTTTTTTACTAAACAAAAGAATTCGCTCTAGTTTATTCATTAACTTCTTCGTGTAGCTACTGTTTACTACTCTCTGGTTCGTTGATTGGTTCACTTTAAGAAGTAAATAACTTGAGGATTATTATTGAGTCATTTCATTCTATGTGTGGAAGAGAGAGAGAGAGTTTTTTTTCTTATAATTTTTTATATATTTAATCTAAACAAGGAAGTTTACAACAAAATGAGAGATAATAACTGAGAGACTTCGTTATATCCTTGAGACTATCATAATAATAATAATTATTATTATTTTTACCATTAAATAAAAATCTACAATGAATATGACTATTGAAATAATGATAATTACTGTTATTGTTACAATTTTGGGAATGAATGTTTTTACAAATAAATAAATGGAATTTCATTGTATGTAATTTGTTGTATTGTTATTGGTTATTTTCAGTTGATTGGAATGAAGGGTTATTTGCTAAAACTTATTAAGCAAATGTAATAAGAAGAATATAATTCAACAATGATAAGTAAACTTTAGATAAGCTTCAGAACAATCTCTAATATGTATATATATATAACTTTCCGCACCTGTAGTTTAAGCGATATATTCACCTTGATACCAAACGGCATGTATGTTAAGATGATGTTTACTTCATTCTATTCTATAAGTTTGCAACATACACTTTGAAAGTATAGTACATACATGGTTTGCTAGTATTTTGTATCTTTGAAGAAATGCTCGCATATGCTTGAAGAATTAAATAATTCTGAAATTAGACTTAATGTATAAGGTAAAATTTGGTTGGTGTGACCATAAACTTTGTCAACTTAGATGATTAAGATTTAGGTTACGCGCGCCGAATCATCTCTTAATAACAATGGTGGCTAACATAGCAGTAGATTAGGAGAAGACTGGGAGTGATCAAATGAAATCAGTCCATGAAATTAGTGACTGGGTTTGAGTAGATGCTGTCAGTCAGTCAGTTACAACGTAGGACCAGGCACATATATGCATCAGTCCAAGTTTCCATACCGCATTAGCACAGCACAGTAGATGCTGTGCTTAGAGTCTGTTAGTTAATTCTTACCAATTGTTAGATCCTTTAAGTCCTATGAACAGAAATCTGTTGTAGTGCTTTAAGTTTGCTCTTTTTCTGTGGATCTTGAGTTTTTTCACTCTGTTTTATTCAGTTGTTTAGACCTCATCTTTTGTTCCTAATATTCTATATCATACTTTCCAAGTGAATGCTTCGAAGATTTTTTAAACTAATAACTTTCTAATTGTCCAAGAATTATACCATAATATGAATCCATGTTTGTACTAGCCTGTTCGTATTTAAAGTTCTTCCTTACGCCTGTTACTTGCCGTGGAGGAGCATAGGCCGCTCACCAGCATTCTCCATCCAACCCTGTCCTGGGCAATCCTTTCCAGTTGTTATTCATCCTTTTCATATCTGCTTCTATTTCCCGACGTAATGTCTGGTGCCTCCTTATTTGCGGATCTTTCGCCTTTTAATAAAGATTTCCGCGGGGAGGCACAATACAATGAGTCTTATCTCATATTTAATGTACTTAGAATTATTTCACGTTTCGATCAAAAACGTTCATAGTGCTCGGGCTGACCAAACTCAAGTAGTTATCTTTTTAGCTATGTGTTCATCCACCGAGGTTGACGATACAAGTACTAATACAGTTTCTCTTTGAAGTAGGAATGTCCTTCCATAGTGTGGGTAAATGGGAAGTGACAACCACTCACACATATAACAGCAATTGAGGTTACTTTGTTCACTATCATATCCCTAGATTTCTTAATATTTCTTCTATTCATATACAACTCTTCCTTTATGGCTTCATCTTTTCTTTATGCACGGTTAATGCTAACGATATGAGTTCCAGAAATGTCATTCCTAGTCGGCTGAAACTGCTCCAAGCCACATATTGGAGCATCCAATGCTTAAACCTTATACCAAATTGGACAACAGGCTTCATTACCTGGAACTATAGAACCTCATATGCTGGATCTCTGGAGCTTGCATATGGGTCCCAAGTGTAGCCATTCACTTGACCTCGCCTAAACCAAATGCAACTTTTCGTGTAACTTGAGATGACTGTTGCTTCTTATGGCCTAGTTAGCGTAGGTATAGCACTAAGTCCAGAAGTAGGACAAGCTCTCTAGGGATTTGGAAAGATAGAAAAGCAGGCTGGTGTTTCCTCGTCATCTTTCCCCGATCTCTTGATGACTAGTTAAAAGGAAGGGAAATATAGGTCATACAGAAAATGCTTTGATCTTCAAGCAGTTAGACGTAATCGTGGCAGATGATTTTAGTGCATTAATGGATAGTTTAAACCAAGTTGAAATTCACTTTCGGTATACCAACTTAGCTAGCAGATAACGGCGGTCGTCTGCTAAAACTACTGTCAATTAATCATCTTTTTGTAGAGAGCACTAACTTTAAGCATAGGGAGAGACATTATCTGATATGGGAAACCCTCTACTCTAAGAAAAGTCAACAGACTATGTAGTCACTAGCCATGTTCGAATAAATGTTAACTGAACTCATCAGTACTGCATACATCGATGAAAGTCTTGGATGGAATTCAATCCAATTAGAGTTCACGGAGATTTTGTATCTTTAAATTTCCGAATAGTACGATTTTGTTGTCATTATTATTTTTAAGACACTGTTCTGAATATTTACTTATTTATAGGTAAGTTGGGAACGATAAACATTGGTTAACCCAATAAACAATTTTTTTTATATTGACAATAATGTTTGTATGTCTGGACAGGAAATATAAGATGATCATAACAATATTTTGTTTTTCTTACTTGTCATTCTCTTTGTTTGTTGTTGTTCATCTTCTAACAAATTATTTAAATCTTTAGATATTTACAACATTGTACATTGAATAACTGATCAGTGAACAATTAGTTGTTTTTAAGTTTTACAATCACGTTACATGTTTATTTAGCAAGACATTTTACAGTTGGAAGGTTTGGTAAAATAAATGGACTAGGTCATGCAAACTTGCAAAATAATAATTTTTATTCAGTATTTTCACAATATTTATCTCTGTACTCTCTATACATATTCAGTTGAAATTAAGTTTACATTTTTTTCTGTGAAAAAGAGAATATTACGTATAAATAAGCGACAGATGTAAGTGATATAAATAGTTATTTACAGATGGGTTTTGCTAAAGGTTCATGCCTTTATAGTTAGTCTATTAAAATTGGGAATGTAGATAATTTAACCGTAACTCAATCAAATGAATGTAACTCACTCACTGAGATTCCTGAAAGTTTTTGTATTAATCTGTTGTAAGCAGACGAAAAAGTACTGACTACCGAGAAGCGGCAAGAAAGTATGAAACAACTGTTTTTGACGGAGTATTGTTATTATTATTATTATTATCATCAGCTTTATTCAATATTATATTTTTGGTACAATATAGAATTCTCAGGGTAAAGTATTTCAACAAGTTTCCGTTTCTTTCTTCTTGGTCGGTCCTGGAGATAAATATTGAGTGATCGCCAGTTAGATGTTAGCAGTTCAGTAAATGACCATCTGAATAATGTGCATTCTTTTCGTTGTATATTGCCAGCAACCACATTGTCTCTTATTGAGTTTTTTGTAACTTTGACAACGAAAGGTTGTACACTTTTCAGAAACGCAGCAGAATAGGTTATGAGATTAATAAACATATTGATATATTAAAACAAACAAAAATAGATAACTTGTTGAAATATCTGGATGGCAGGAACAGGTAGCCCAGATACTCAAGCAGGCTGTCCTTGTTGTTCCATGAGCTGGATGGTTTGGTTGTGGAGCTTTCATCGTTCTTCTGAAACAATTGTTTAGTACTTCTGAAATTTGAATATTTCAGCTTAAACACTCGACTTAATTATTTTCTGTTGTTTACAATAAAGAATGAGATGAGATGAGACTAAATGTACTGATTTATGCATTAACTGTGATAAGAAAGAACTTCACTTTCAATATTTTGATCTGTTTTATTGATCAATCAATGTTTAATTACATTCTATATTACAAAACGTAATAAAGAATCACCCGATTTATTCTATTTTACAGTTTCATAATTGTAATCACATTCTGTCATATATGTTCATACATTGTAGATTTTCACATACCATTTATATTTGTTTTTCTAATAATTATCTATCAATTCCTTTTATTTCAATGTTATTTTATTGTATCCATGCTTACTTACTTACTTACTTACACACACACACCCAGACACACACACACGCACACACAATCACGCACATATAAACATCAAAATTCATGCAAACAGAAATTAAATGCTACATTTTACACTTTTTCTTTCCAAGTACTTTTAGTCACTTGTTTATTTTAAGGTTGTTTGCAAAATTTATCGTTTAAGAAGAAAAAAAAAGATAATGGCAAGCAGTAAATTTTAAAGAACAACTTTTAAATTTGAAAGAGAAAAACATTTATCATAACAGATTGTTATTGATTATATATATTATTTGAAAAATTACAACGATAAAAAAGCAAACTGTTGTTTACATTTGTTATTACTTAACTATTTACTTACTTACGTCTGTTACTCCTCGTGAAGGAGCATGTAAACTAGTCAGTCTATGTCCGATACTTTTTTTTACTTCGACTACTTTAGCATTTATCTAAATAATTTCGTTCTGCTGTGGTGATTTGATGTGGTAACCTAAACCAGTGTAAATATATTCAATATTCTACGTTGTTTATAACTTACTGACTGAGTTACTTACTTACGACTGTTACTCCTCGTGAAGGAGTATAGGCCGCTCACTAGCATTCTTCATTCAACCTTGTCCTGGGCAATCCTTTCCAACGCCTTCCAATTGTTATTCATCCTTTCCATATCTACTTCTATTTCCCGACGTAATGTGTTCTTTGGCCTTCCTCCTTTCCTCTTCCCTTCAGGATTCCAAGTTAACGCTTGCCTCGTGATGTAGTTTGATGATTTGCGTAATGTATGTCCTATCCATTTCCATCGTCTTTTCCTAATTTCCTCTTCAGCTGGAAGTTGGTTTGTTCTCTCCCACAGTAGATTGTTGTTGATGGTATCCGGCCATTGGATGTTGAGTATCGTGCGTAGACAACCATTTATAAATACTTGTACCTTCTTGATGGTGGTTGTTGTAGTTCTCCAAGTTCCAGCTCCATACAGTAGAACTGCCTTGACGTTCGTATTGAAGGTTCTCACTTTGATATTGGTTGACAGACAGGTGTTTTGAGTTCCATATGTTCTTCAACTGTAGGAATGCGACCCTTGTTTTGCAAATTCTTGCCTTTACATCTGCATCTGAGCCTCCTTGTTCATCGATGATGCTTCCCAGGTATGTGGAGGATTCTACATCTTCCAGAGTTTCGCCACCAAGAGTGATTGGATCGCT